TGTGTAAACCAAATTATAATTTAAAAGTGATTTATAATATACGAAGTAAATATGTTAGAAGAGTTTTGTCTCGACTAATGTAAAATTATTTTTTTTGGGTATCCCAAACAATCCAATGATATTGTAATGTTTACTCTTTTCTTGAACACAATCAGATGATATTTTATTCAAACGAAGTCGAACCAGAGAAACCAATTTCTTCAAAACTTGAAAAAGCAAATTCTCTTTGGCAAAAAAGAAAAAGAAAAAACCAATTCTCTGGCAAAAAGTAAAAAAGAAAGAAAGAAAGAAAAAAAAAACAAAAAGGTTGAAAAGGGAAAAAAATGTTGAAAGCAAATTACAAGACTTCATTTTTAAGGAATTATGCTTACTACGGTTTGCGGGAAGAAATACTCCTGTAACTAATTATAGCTACCCAAACATGATCATATTAAAATAACATTACAAAAAAAAAATGATGATATTGAAATATATGGTGATTACTATGGGAAGGCTAATTTTCATTTCTAAAGATTGTAAGGAGTTGAAGCAAGCTAGATCATATATTGTTCCACTTCTCTTTTTTTTATTTCAAAATTAAATACTCTCAGTGGTCTTTTCTATTAAATCATATTAACTACTTTTCTTAAGGATTAAGGAAACTAATTAAAATTAACTAAATATTCAAAAAAATTCACAAATTTTTAAATTTAACCTTTAATAGTTATAGCTTAAAAACCCACCTTCTCATCGATAATCAACAAGACAAAGAATTTTCTTAAAACTGGAATAAAGTGAAGGTTGATCGCTTACGTTCATTTGAGAAGAAAATCAATTTCAATAGATGCATGAATATTTTTTTTTGTACCAAAATAAGGATTGAGGAAATTAATTAAAATTAGCTAAATGTTAAGATTTTTTACAACTTTTTAAATTTAACCTTCAATGGTTAAAGCTTATTGGGAGAAAGAACGAAAAAGCCAGGTCTCATCAATAATAAACAAAGGATTTTCTTAAAAGCAGAACAAAGTAAAGATTGATCTCTTGAGATCATTTGAAAAAAAAAAAAATCGTTTTCAATTGATGCATGAATATTTTTACTGTACCAATTAATTCTGGGGTGATGTGAGGTTGTGTTGAACGTGGATTATTTCATTGGAGTTTGTTTGTATTTAAATGAAACTTTTCTATCAATGGTTCCTGAAGTGACTTTATCAATAACATGCGTCGTGTGTTATATAATTGGGGTATTTCATAATGGGTGCTTCTCTGACAAGATCCAAGGCTAGTATACGCAATATTGACGTTATATAAATTTGGGAATGGCTAATGAAGTTATATAAATTACTTTAAAATATTTATATTTGCCGCTTTTCTTCAAATTAATTTATTTGACTTATAAACTAATGTGTAGTCTAAATATCTAATGTTACACATAAGTATTTTAGAGATGTCATGTAACATATAATATAATTAAGTAATTTATTTAGCTTCTTTAATCTATTCAAGTTTGTCTTTTCGAGTCTTATATTAAGAAGCGAAGATAATATATGATATGTATACAAGTTGATAAATTTTAGAAAAATAATTAATTAAATTTTATTAGTTAATTTTTTTCATCTTAGAAAAAAAATCAAATTATTGGATCAAGATAGAACTTATTTAAATACTCTTATCTTTCTTTTTCATCTTTATTCCTTCTTTCTCCACGTTACAAACTCTAAAAGCCAGAAATCCTAGCATTATAACGCACTTAGCTTTTTGTCCAGGAGTTACTTTGAAAAGTAGCCTACCTAAACAAACTTTTATCACCAAGTGACTCACCAACGTGCATTCTCCAGTTTCTTAGGCACGGTATCTTTCCAAAACAAAGATCCAAACGAGCGCTAAATGATTAGTAGCTTGGGTTTCTTTCGAGAGCCACTTCTCCATATCTCTCTTTTCAGAAGTCTGTGTTTTTTAAAAGAACTTTTTTTTTTCTGTGTGAAATGAAAATATTAAAAAATAATATAAATTCTTTAAATGGATTATAAAACACTCAATATCTTAGAGTATTTTATATTTTGTGGTATATCCAATATTTTGAATTATTTTTTTTAAATGTATCCAGTATCATGAAATATTTTTCGGAGCATCCAGCTCTCTAAAATATTTTTTTGGGTATATCTAGCATCTTAAATTATTTTTTGGTGTATCCAGCAATAAGGTAAAAAAAATTACCTTAAGTGCCTGTTTGGTTCACTGAATCTTTGGAAATATAAGGGAATGTAATAAAATATAATGATGATTACATGAGTTTGTTTGGTACACCATTAAAGAAAAGTGATGCATAGACATAAAAAATGTTTGGTTGGATTACAAAGAATATAAAAATAGGTAAAAATAGTCTATCAAAAAAAAAATACCCTTATTTACATATACATAATTTTATCTAATGATTTAAAGTTGTTTTTTTCCCCTCCAAATATATATATAATAAACCTAACCACATATATAATAATAAGTTCAAGCCAAAAAAAACAGAGAGTATATAGTACATAAATAAATATAATAATATATATGTATGCTTTCCCATTATCAGATTCTCCCTTGCAACTAATATATATATATATATATATATATATATATATATATAGCACCAAATATGCATCAACCATGCAACTAAAGTTTAGTAGCAATATGTAGCGGCGACTGCGATTGCCAATGATTCATCAAAACTTCTATGAAAGCAAAGCAAAAAGGGCCTCCGAAAACTGGAATTTTCAGAAAGAAAAAGATGTGACCTTCAATGTAAAAGAAATATGGCAGTGTTAATAAATGAAATATTAGTCTTGCAAAAGAAATAATAGCAGCAACAATAGAATTCTTCGAAGCCGATCCAGAAAAACTAATTTCTTCAAAACTTAAAAAAATAATGAAAAAGCAAATTCTCCTGCAAAAAGGGGCCAAAAAAAGAAAAAAATAAAGAAAAAGATAAAAAGGTTAGAAAGAAAAAAAAAAGTTGAAAGCAAATTACAAGACTTCATTTTTAAGGAATCATGATTACCACCGTCTGCGGGAGGAAATACTGCTATGACTGATTATAGCTGCCCAAACACGATCATATTAAAATAAAACTATAAAAAAGATTATATTGAAATATATGGTGATTACTATGGGAAGGCTAATTTTCATTTCTAAACATCGTAAGGAGTTGAAGCAAGTCAGATCATATATTGTTCCACTTCTTTTTTTTTTATTATTTCAAAATTAATTACTCTCTCCAGTCTTTTCTATTACATCATATTAACTACTTTTTTTAAGGATTAAGGAAATTAATTAAAATTAACTGAATATTAAAAAATTTGCAACTTTTTAAACTTAACCTTTAATAGTTATAGCTTGAAAAGACACCTTCTCGTCAATAATCAAGAAGACAAAGGATTTCCTTAAAACTAGAATAAAGTGAAGGCTGATCTTTTAAGTTCATTTGAAAAGAAAATCAATTTCAATTGATACTTGAATATTTTTATTGTATCAAAATAAGAGTAAACTGCTCTTTACTCTTCCACAAAATGAAACATGACGTGTTTACAACATTTAGTTGTCCAGTTGTCTTGAAAGGTTGAAAGGTTTCAGTGCAATACTTACAGAATTATTCACATCTAAATGCCTTTTCTGAGAATAAATTATTATTTACTTTATAATATGTAGTATAGTATTTTTTTTTTTTGGATACAAAGTATAATGTATTTTCAATATTTAATATATACGGTCTGATGGGGTTTATGAATATAAGCCCAAGTATGGTACCGCTTATTGAAACAAGGCAAGGCCTATGAATTAAGGCAGCTCCAAGCAACCTAATAATAAAATTTGTAATTCTGGAGGGAGAATTACAATGAATTCTCCATGATTGGTAAGTCCAAATAATAAGTGAGTAGTTATTATTTATTATTCTGAAATTTGTTGTTGCAAGTTGCTCTGTTATTAATAAAATTTTTAAGTAAATATGTTTTTTATTTAGAACTTTATAATGATTCTCCCAACTCTTAATGTTGCAATCTGATCCGGTCCAGTCAGATGAGTATATGAAAAAAATGTAACCAATGGTATTATGATTTACTGCTTAAATAATGCGGTTGTTTCTCATGCTTCATGTGGCACAATGGATCCGGGACTAACAAGGTTGGTTTTCTGGCTCATGTTTGCATAAAACACTCTAATGAATTTAATATTACCATTTGTTGCGTTCATACGTATAGGATATGTTCTGGTGAGGTTTTCTTTTGAATTTAGGGTCTAATTTTTAAAACAAAATGTAAGATAGTCTTCTCACTAATATAATTATGGCTATATTAATAAATTTCTAAAAAAATTATCAAAAACACGATAATGGGTGATTTTTATGTCTTCTAATATCGGCGATCACAACTTGAAAAATAAAGATGCGTATTTATTTTAATTATATAGTTTAAAAATTAGATATAAATATGTTAAAAGATTTATGTTATATACTCATTATATATAGGAAAATACTTATATTAAATCTCCTATGTCCAATTATATCATGTTTTTCAATTACATATAGTCACATATGACACATGACACATATCCATATGTGATAAGAGAACTTGATATAATCATATATATATATATATATATCATAATTTACTTTATGTTTTAGGCGATTTTATTTTTCTTCAATTATTGTAATTACTGGAGAAGAGCTAAAGAGGAGAAGATGGGCAGAAAGGCTTTAACAAAAAATCTCAACTTAGCAACGAAGGCAAGAACTTTTTGACTTCCAAAGGATTGCAAGCATTTACCTTAGCAATGAAGGAGGAGTCGCAAAGCATTGGTCATATCATCAGTTTCCAATAATTGAAGAGCCCTTGTTCATAACCATAACCTCCATAACGAGAGCCACTCTCCAGTACAGGTACGATATATCTTCTCGCATGCTTTATATATATACGTTACGTCCCCGTTACAGTTTCTGAAACGTTTGCTGGATTTGGTGGGTTAATAATATTGCTCCCATGGCTTCAACTGCTATTCCGGAACAAATTTCGTTGAGAGTTTTTGTGGACAAAGAGCAAAACAGAGTGCTCTTTGCCGAAGCAGAGAAGGATTTTGTGGATATTCTTTTAAGCTTCTTGACTCTGCCACTGGGAACTATTGCTAGACTCGTAAGTAGGGATTCAAACATGAAGCCTTGCCGATTCGGATGCATAAGCTCGCTGTATGAAAGTGTGGGAAATCTGGACCCCAAGTATTTGAATTCGGAGACATGCAAGCAAATGCTGCTTCAGCCAAGGAACTCCATGGAACGTTATAATCAAAACCTCAAACTCAACATTGATGACACTCAACCAACCAAGTATTATGCTTGTGAACGTTGTCTTTTTCAAGGACCTTCTCTGGTGACCACTTCCAAGAATATGAAATGCAAATGTGGGCGGGATTTTACGTTCCTTCTGAACGCTTGCGGATCGCTCTTATGCAGTCCTGTGGTTAGTGGATCTGATAAAAACGCGGGTGATAGTGATACTAGAGGTAATAATATCTTTTTGCAACCCATTTTATGTTTTTGGTCTATCCTTATTGAACAAACCATATGCTACGTTTGACTCGATTATTAATAATTTAATATTGCTTCATCCCCTACCTGTCCAAAATGCAGAGGACACATGGGAAGGCTATGTAAAGGAGACTGCATCTTTTATTATTTCTGATGATCTCTCTGTAAACTCTGCTGATTTGAGCACAATATTGTGTCTGCTAAAGAATCTAGGCTCTAAAGATCCACCCCAGGAATCCACTGTGGTTCTTTGCTCAAAAGAGGTGAACTTCTGGAACCATTGATTATGTCATCACTATGAGTCTTAAATCCTTTATCTCTCATCATGTGATGATTTATTATGTTTTCGAAGATCTTGGACCTACTCAAGTGCTTGATAATCTCGAAGACGGCACTCACAGATTCATTGTTAAGGAAGGAGCACAGCCTTGTGAATTCTGAAACCTTTCTCAAGATAACTGAGAGACTAGGCAGAGAGAACACTAGGACGATGAAGATGAGGGTATTGATCAGAAAATCAAAGTTCAAGATATTGTTTGCTCAAGTTGAGGAAGATGTCATGGACCAGCTTCTTAGTTTCTTGACATTCCCAGTAGGAGCAGTAGAAAGAGTTTTAGAAGGAAACTCTGGATTGGAATGCGTCGACAAATTATATAACAGTTTGTTCAATTTTGATTCAACGGGAGACTTGAAGTCAGAGAAGTTGAAAAATGTGTTCGCCAACCTCATGATAGCCCCATTCTTTAATGTTAATAACCAGATGTTACCTATTGAGGAACTAAAGTGTCCGTCTCGGTTAAATTGTTGCTCTAACGACTACGCTGCTGGTCCATATTATTTGACTACCGATACTAGTTTGTATGTCCGTGGTGTGAGAAGAGTAAGAATGTGCGACCCTAAGTCCCCAGTAACGGAGGACAAATCAGGCAGTGGATATGCAAAGAGTGGAACCAAGTTCATGGTTGCTGATGACTTGTCTGTGAAACCTTTATCATGTCATGATGTTTTATCACCTTTGACTGAATTCAAGGTGCCTTACCATGACTTGGAAGAAAGAACAATCTACATTGGGGTACAAGAGGTACGTATCTTCTAACCTTTAAACAGACAAATTAAAGGACATGCAAATTTTGTTTGAAACCAAAAAACAAGAAGTTATATGGTTTGGGTTTGTTTTCCCTTGAATGTGATCAAATTTATTAGCATGCTTGCTGCAATTTTCTTTTGCCTTCTGTATCAGACTCATGCATACAAATGCAGGTTATGAGCATCCTTCAAGCTTCCATGGTTTCAACATCAGCTTTGACAATTGGCCTGAAAGAATTTTTATCAAATAATGTTAAGAAGAAGGGGAAACAAAGACGCAAAGCAAAAAAAAAATAACTGTTGGCGAAATGGAAGCTTGCGAGCTACTTGACTAGCTCTTCGATTTCCTGATTCTCTTTCGTACTTCTACCTTGTTGTTTTGTTTTGAAGAAGTGTGATGGCTTCTGATTGAATAAATAATTATATAACGGTGGTTTGGTGCCCAACGTATTTGCTTTATCTAGTCGTATTTGCTTTATCTAGTGATTCTCCTTCGCTTTCCTATCAACTATAGAATTCACAACCCCCTACTCCAGATCAAAAGAACTTCATAAAACAGGTGGACGATTTTTCCCCCTTTTAGGTGATGGGGAGCCATTTCGTTCTATGAATTTCATCCACAATCAAATGGCTTAACTTTTCCACACGAGTGAAAATATATGGAGAAATCAGATCCCCTTTCCCCACTCCACAAGCTCTGCGCATTAATACTCTCAATACAAACCACAATGATTTTACAAAGTTTCAGGCTGACACGAGTTTCTATTAGTATTTCTCTGGTGAAATCCATTCCAATCTATAACGGTTTTCCAAGTTCACTTTGGTTGCTGTGAACCCCACAACCTCCCCCCCACCCAAAAAAAAAAAAGAAAAGCTTTATTGAGCAAATTATTCCAAGCAATTATAGTGATATCACTGCGCTGCCTTCCCTATTATAAAACTGCGTTGGTTTGTTGCCAACCAACTTACTAAGATACTGTTTGGTATGAAGCATGGAAAATGAGAGGTAGAGATTGTGATTGAGATTGGGATTGAAAAAAATCTATTAGAAAGATTACTTGTTACATAGGATTGGACAAAACTATGTGTATGAGATTGGAAAAAACCATAGGGGGAGATGGCGTGGTATTCTCCAATCTCATCTTCATGAGTTTGTCCAATCTCATGTAACAAGTAATTATTCATACTAAATACTCTTTTAATAATTTTTTTGAAGTTTAATCTTACTTTATTTCTCATTCTTAATGGTTTGTACCAAACAGAACCTAAGTGTGCTGGGCCATCACTTTGGAGATGATTTACATTTGCAGAAAAGAGTACAAGGCATTGAATATACTCTTCCGGTCCTTAATATAAGACCCATTTAACTAATTTGATTATATTAAGGAAGTTAGGTAAGTTAGTTAATTATAATAAATGTGACACGTTTTTCCTAAAATACCATAATCATCTTCTTTAATATCCCCTCTCTTCTACTTGATTATGGTTGAGGGAATACCCATAGGGGTAATTTAGAGAAAATTGATAAATATGAGAAATGGGTCTTATATTTAGGACCAAAACCAACTCAACAATTGGGTCCTATATTAAGGACCGGAGGAGTATTAGCAAATGCCCAGTCAGTTCTTTCCTTAAACGGTATCTGTATGAGTTGAGCTTCTTCAATACAATCTTTAATAGGTCTCATGGTTGCATAATTACAAGACTCATTACCTACGTACGTACCTTGTCATTCAAAGAAAGATAGGCGCTGAAATCTCCAATAGTAACCTCATATTTCTGCTAATATTTTCAAGGTCGACCCACAACTGTTTTCTTCAGCATAAATACGGGACAAGCGGAAGTTCTTGTCACCATTGACATCAGTGAAGAAGTTGGGTAGTAGCGAGATTCAAGTAATAGTCTAAGATTCATGGATTTAGGGCGTTTGCCACCTTTAATAGTTATAGCTTAATGGGAGCAAAAAACGTAAAGGCCACCTTCTCATGAATAATCAACAAGACAAAGGATTTTTTTGAAAACTGGAATAAAGTGAAGACTGATCTCTTATGATCATTTGAGAAGAAAAATTAATTTCGATTGACGCATGAATATTTTTATCGTACCAAAATAAGAGCAAACGACTCTTCACTCTCCCACAAAATGAAACATGATGTGTTTACAACGTATAATTGTTCTGAAAGGTTTTAGCACAATACCTATGAATTATTAACATCTAGTTGCCTTTCTGAGAATAAATTATTATTAGGATAAGGTATTTAAATACCTTGGAAGTATTTATGAATGAGCATCCAGCACCTAAAATTTTTTCTGACTCTCACATGCTCAAGAAGTTTTATTTCATACCATTTCTGCTCTAAACTATTATGGACCATTAAGTTTAACCGTTACAGATACTAGTCATACCGCATAATTTCACAATCAAATTTAATAGCTAATAATGGTCAACGTATTTTTGCTATGAAAATAAATTTTTTGGGCATATAAGAGCAAAAACAATCCATATGCTGAATGTTTTTTCATAGATACTTTTGAGATATTTAAACACTTTATCCCATTATTGTTTACTTTATAATATGTAGTATACTATATTTCTGGCAGAAAAAAGAAAGTAGTAAAATATATGAAAAAATTCAATATTCAATATACACGGTCCAATGTTTTGGCCGAAAAAATACATACGGTCCAATGGGGTTCATATATTACTATACGCTGCGTTGATAGCCACCGGATACGTTGTGGCCGAAAAAGGGTACATGATATGTGCAAGTGACGTTTTCTTTTGCATTCAGGGTCTAATTTTTAAAATGGTTAATATAATCTTTAGTGTCATCAAATTTACCTTTATTTTGATTTTGGTCTTTCAAATTTCAAACTGTAGGTTTTGGTCCCATAAGGACATAATGGTTCAGATTTTTATTAAATTATAGGAATTGATATTTTAAATGAAAAAAAATTTAAGAGATCAAAATTTATAATTTAAAATTTGAGGGACTAAAACCAAAATGAAGGCAAACTTAACAGACTAAAAATTATATTAACCTTTTTTAAAACAAAAATGTAAGATGATTTTCTCACTAATATAATTATGGTTATATTAATAAAATTCTAAACAAATATGACGATGGGTGATTTTTATGTCTTGTAATATCCGCGAGCACAACTTAAAAAATTATTTATATATTTTAAAAATTAAATATCAATATGTGATAAAAAGATTTATATTATACTAAATATATAGTATCATAATTTAATATTATTCATGTTTCAGGTAATTTTAATTTTCATCGATTATTATAAGTGCATACTTTACTTGGTTGCAACCCCTCAGAAAAAGGCATTTAACAAAAAATCCTACCTTAGCAATGAAGGCCAGAATCTTTTGACTTCAAAAAGAGTGCAGGCATTTACTTATCGAGTAAGCCTAATTGAAAGTTGAAGAAGGAGGAGTCACAAAGCCTTAGTCATATCATCTGTTTCCAATAATTCAAGAGCCATTGTTCATAACCATAACCTCCATAACGAGAGCCACTCTCCAATACAGGTTCTATATATCTTCTTGTGTGCTATGCACACACACATGCACACCAAATTCAAATAGGTTACGTCCTCGTTACAGTTTTTGAAGCATTTGCTGGATCTGGTGCGTTAATAATATTGCTCCCATGGCTTCAACTGCTATGCCGGAACAAATTTCATTGAGAGTTGTTGTGGACAAAGAGCAAAACAGAGTGCTCTATGCTGAAGCAGGGAAGGATTTTGTGGATATTCTTTTAAGCTTCTTGACACTGCCACTGGGAACTATTGCAAGACTTGTGAGTAAGGATTCAAACACGAAGCCTTGTCGATTCGGATGCATAAGCTCGCTGTATGAAAGTGTGGGGAATCTGGACCCCATGTATTTGAATTCTGAGACGTGCAAGCAAATGCTGCTTCAGCCAAGGAACTCCATGGAACGTTATAATCAAAACCTCAAACTCAACATTGATGACACTGAGCCAACCAAGTATTATGCTTGTATACATTGTCTTACTGAAGAAGTTGGTTCTCTGGTGAGCACTTCCAGGAATATGAAATGCAAATGTGGGCGGGATTCTTGGTTCCCTCTGAACCGTTGCAAATCGCTCTTATGCAGTCCTTTGTTAAGTGGATCCGATAAAAACGCGAGTGGCGATGCTGGAGGTAATAATTGCAATGCATTTTATATTTTTTGTCATCCTTATTAACAAACCATATTTGATTAGATTATTAATATTTTTCTTTTAGACCTTGTCCAAAATGCAGATAATACATGGGAAGGCTATGTAAAGGAGACTGCATCTTTTATCATTTCTGACGATCTATCTGTAACTCCTGCTAATTTCAATATAACATTGTGTCTGCTAAAGAATCTACGCTCTGAATGTCTACTGGAGGAATCCACTGTAGTTCTTAGTTCAAATGAGGTTGAGTTCTGAAAACATTAACTATATCTTATTTTCTTTATATCACATCACCTAATGCTTTAATTTATTATGTTTTCGAAGATTTTGGACCTACTCAAGTACTTGTTGATCTCCAAGACGGCACTCACAGATTCATTGTTAAGAAAGGAGCACAGCCTTATGTATTCCGATACCTCGTTCAAGATAACTGGTGAGAGACAAGGCAGAGAGAGCATTGGGATGATGAAGATGAAAGTATTGATGTCAAAGTCGAAGTCCAAGATATTGTTTGCTCAAGTTGAGGAAGATTTCATGGATCAGCTTCTTAGTTTCTTGACATTCCCATTGGGAGCAGTAGAAAGAGTTTTAGAAGGAAACTCTGGGGTGGTGTGTCTCGACAAACTATATAACAGTTTGTTGAATTTTGATTCAACCGTAGACTTGAAGTCAGAGAATCTAAAAAACATGTTCGCCAACCTCATGATAGCCCCATATTTTAATGTTAATAACCAGATGTTACCTATCGATGAACTGAAGCATCCGTCCGAGTTAGGTATTTGTTCTAACCATGATGATGATGATCGATATTATTTGACTGCTGATGCAAGTTTGTATGTCCATGTTTGGAGAAGAGTAAGAATGTGCGACCCTAAGTTTCCAATAGCGGAGGAGAAATCAGGCAATGGATATGCAAAGACCAGAATCAAGTTCATGGTTGCCGATGACTTGTCTGTGAAACCCTTTTCATCTCACCATGTTCTGTCATCCTTATTAACTGAATTGAAGGTGCCTCACCATGACTTGGAAGAAAGAACAATCCGCATTGGGGCACAAGAGGTACGTATCTTCTAACCTTTAGGCACAACAAATGAGATGCAAATTCTGTTTGGAACGAAAAAACAAGAAGTTATATGGTTTGGGTTTGTTTTCCCTTGAATATGATCAGATTTATTTGCATGCTTGCTGCAATTTACTTTTGCCTTCTGTATCAGACTCATGCATACAAATGCAGGTTATGAGCATCCTTAAAGCTTCCATGGTTTCAACATCAGCTTTGACAATTGGCCTGAAGGAATTTTTATCAAATAATATTAAAGAAGAGGGTGAAACGAAGACGCAAAGCAGAAACATAACTGTTGGCTAGTGCTTCAATTTCTTGATTCTCTTTCGTTCTTCTCTCTTGTTGTTTTGTTTTGAAGAAGTGTGATGGCTTATGGTAGAATAAATAATTATATAATGACGGTTTGGTGCTCAACGTATTTGCTTTATCTAGCAATTCTCCTTCACTTTCCTATCAATTACAGAGTTTGCAACCCCCTATTCTAGGTCAAAAGAATTTCTAAAAATTTCATAAAATAGGTGGACGATCTTTTTTCTTTTTTCTTTTTTTTCCCTCCTTTCAGGTGATGGGGAGCCATTTCATTCTATGAATTTCATCCATAATCACTTGGCTTAACTTTTCCATACATAGAGTGAAAATATATGGAGTAATCAGATCCCCTTTCCCCATTCCTACGTACAACTTGAGGTTCTTATTACATAACTAGTTTGAAAAAATTAAAAAAATTAATTCAGTTGGTTAATTGTAATAAATTTGTGTTGCGTTTTCTAAATTATCCTATTTAATTATGTGCATTAAAAATATTCCTTAGTGAGAACACCTTGCAAATAATGAGAATATTTTAGAGAAAATATTATAAATTTGATAGACAAAGTGGATTGAAATCTTATATTTAGAATCAAATTTAATTTTTAACTAACTCTTATATTAAAGACGGGATGCAGTAATATTGAAAACCGTGAGACCTTTTTTTTCCCCGAAAATTTAAAATAGATATGTATATATTGTTAATTAATTTGATATGATGAAATAATAATAAAAAAGCGACACGAGCTGTGAATAAATAATAATTTAATTCACCTTCGATTCTATGTTACTCTATTTTAATTTATTTATGGATGATAATGATTATAACATTGTTTCATCATCTAGTAGTATACATGTTTTATTAAGAAATATAATTATTATTTATGTGTATGAAATTATTCTTTATTTTATTTCTTATTTCATTTTATTTTATACATAAGGAAGAAATATTAGTCTATGGGGACCTCAAATCTCTGGAATTGGGATAAAGTGGATGGACACTGGAGAGGAAGTCAAATTAACCAACGTGAATGGCTAATGCAAAATGTCCAGGAACACATAAATATTAAAGATATTGATGAATTACAAAAATACTTATAATCATTTTAAAACTTTAAATAGGATCATTAACTTTTCTCTTTGGCCAGAACTTTATTTTGAATCTCATGGTCTTCTTCGAAAATATACAAATATAAAACAAATTGAACATCCCAACATGGTACAGCTTATTCTATGAGACCTAAACCGTTTTGAGAAAATGTTAAGCATAATAAACTGTAACATGGAAATTAATTTCAACCATCGTTTAATGCTAATAAAATGTTGTTCAAGAAATGATAATGACAAGTGCTGACAACAAATTAAAACTGGTAGGCCAAAAAAATCAACAAGCTAAAATCTGGCGTATAAGTTACCAAAATTGGGAAAGGATCTAATTAAAATAAAAGACAAGAATAACAATTGTTTTCGTTTAGGCCCAAACTCGAACAAAGAAAATCCTTAGTTTTTTGGGTCAAAATCAGTCAAAAAGTTTAAAGGCCTGGTTGGAACATAAGCCCAGTAAAAGTCTACCTGTGATTATGGAATACAAATCCGGCCTTTTTTTTAATAAAAAAAAAACCGTCCTGAAAACGGATCCATTTGTTTAACCCAGTCATACTCCATCAAACTGGATCAAATATTAATTATTAATTATTAATATTATAATAAAAACCATAAAGGAGCAACCCAACTCTTTCCATAAAGAAAAGGCCATAATTAAAAGCCAGTGACCGATAAGGGTTGGGTTTAATAGAAGAGGCTAATTTTTTATAACGTGGCAAACTAAGGTTTAAATTTCCACTAGGACAAGTATCCACATTCAGAGCTTGATAGTATTTCGAATAGGATTACCTCTAATAAAATAATGCCTATGTTTTAGCAAAAAAAAAAAAAAGACAGCAGCTTCCCTCTTGTACCACCAATGCTTTGCATTACATGTAAATGATTAAATTGGATCTTTAATTTTTGAGTCTTACATCTGATTTAAAAATTAATTACTCTTCGCCGTCTCTTATGGGAAATCTCACCATAATCTTTGGCATAAAAATGTCCATACTAAGAGATTATAGATTCACGATGATGATCTTTTAAGCTTAATTTGAATAAATAAATTAGGCAGCAAATCCTCTACGCTTTGTATAAATTAGTCCTCTTTGGCAAGTTGTTCAATTTCCTTGTGTTGTTTCGGCAATGGTAATGTTGCTTTTGGACTCAGCTTTATTAAATTATTAGTGCTTATTGTTGGTTCCACATATATTGCTTTTTTCCATGTATTTTTTTTTAATATTATTCCTAGTAAAGTAATCATTTTAACTTTTATTTTTATTGGCTTAGTACTAATCAACAAACATACTTTCACTGACAATATATGCTAACCATTTCTAGTGGATGCATGAGGTAGATCATTTTCTTTTCTTTTTTTGGTTTTTAATCAGTCCATCACTCTAACTGCTAATAGATCTCCAACTTTTTAGACAGATTACCATTTTGTTTTGTTAGACAATCTAAAAAGATTTGACTATATTCACGTAAATGAAGAGCCATACGTAATAAACATATTTTATATATCATAATTTAATCACAAGACGCGTCTCCATGGGCATAATTTATAGTTTTTATTATGAACAGTTCCTATTGAATTTTAATAATTACTACTCAGGTCCTTAATATATAAACTAGTGAACTAATTTGAGTAAATTAAAAAATTAATTAAATTAGTTATTTATAATAAATATGTGTTGTCTTTCTTACAATATTCTTACTAATGAAGTGTATTTGCTAAAACTATCATTACTATGACAATAATCTTAAAAAAATAGATAAATATAAAAGATAAAATGAATTAAGACATTATATTTAGAACAAAAATAAAAGTCAAACAATCTCATGTATTAAGGATAGGAGGTAGTATTTTATATATCAATTTACAATTTTTTTTTTGGTGTATACTAATGTACAATTTTAAAATTGCCGATCAACAATGATACAAAGGTTAAAAAAAAAAACAACAATGATATCGAGAAAAGCCGAACCAATCTAATCCAAATCAAATCACAATAGGAAAACAACGTAAAATACAATATCATTAAGAATTTTCAAAAATGGCAACAATAATTTTAAACGATAAATATATTTTGAATTTTGACTCTGAGCCAGCGTCCCATTGCGAAGTCCACCCTCTCCTCCTCCCCTATTCAAAAAGCTTCTCGGTCCCCTTGGATTCTCTGCAAATCCGAAATGTCGATCGCCATAGTAGACCACGCCCTTCCCTACGACACTCACAATCTCTACGATGTTTCCTTCTACACTCACAACATTCACACACTGCTCACTTCTTCCCCTTCCATGGTCGATTCCTGGCTCTCCGAAACCCGCAGCCTCCATTCCCTTCCCCAACCTCTTATCGTCGGCCTCGACGTCGAATGGCGCCCGAATTTCCACCGCAATATGGAGAATCCGGTCGCCATATTACAACTCTGCGTGGGCCCTCGATGCCTCATATTCCAAATCCTTCACGCCCCAAACATCCCCCAATCCCTGATCAATTTTCTCGCAAACGCGAATCACACTTTCGTGGGCGTTGGGATCGAAGAGGATGTGGAGAAACTCGTGTGCGACTACGAACTGAGTGTGGCCACATTCGTTGATCTGCGCGATCTGGCGGTTGACAAGCTGGGGGATAATGAACTGAAGAAATCGGGGCTCAAGACCCTGGCTCTGCGTGTTCTTGGGAAGGAAATTGAGAAGCCAAAGAGTATCAGTAGAAGCAGATGGGACAATCTGTGGCTTACTCCTGAGCAGGTAAAATACGCCTGCATCGATGCCTTTATTTCTTTTGAAGTTGCAAGGCTTTTGTATTCTGGCCAACTCTAGGCATGGGGATTGCTTGGGATTCAGAACTTGGTACAATTCGTGGATAAGTTAATTCTGGTGTGATGTGTGGTTCTGTTAAATGTGGATTTCATTGGAGTTTGTTTGTAATTTGATGAAACTTTTCTGTGGTTCATGAAGTGACTTTACCAATAACATGTCTCGTGTGTGGAGTATTTCATAAGGATGGTTCTCAGACAATAATAGGACTTTGGGGGATCCAACGTTGGTACACGCAGTATAGATAACTGATGTCTGGTTTTGCCAAGGCATGCATTTGAATTCTCTTCTTTTGTTGTTGTTGTTGTTTTCCCCCCGGTAAATCACATCGGCTTCCTTTTTTCCTTTTCTCACAAGAAGGGCTTCGCGCGCGCGCGCTCGACCGTAAGTTTGAACCTGCGAAATGCTCACCAGTGATGAATAATTTGTAAATATTTTTTTTAAGGTATGAATTTTGTTCTATTTATGTTTTTTTTAAGACAAGTAAGAGTGAACAAGATCATTTGATGAGAAATTTAGTTTCAATAGGCAAATAATTAGCAGCTTAAGCTTCTTCTGAAAGCCATTTCTTTATTTCTTTTCAGTAGTCCGTGTTCTTTGAAAGAATTTCTTTCTTTAGTGAAATAAAAATATTAAAAAATAATATTCTTCCTGGTCTAAGTATAAAATCATTTTGTAGTATAATTTATATTACAGAATAAATTTTACATTTTGAATTAAAGGAGTATAAATACTTTAAACCTAGTCATATTTGAGCAACATAAAAATTTTGATCCCGCGTAATCGGAATCTCAATCCTCCTTCGTAGACCAATAACATAGTAATGTTTACTCTTTTTTTTAGCACAACCACATGATGTTTTATCCAAACGAAGATTGTAATTGACCTAGATAAACCAGTTTGTTCAAAACTTACAAGCAAATTCTCGAGCAAAAAAGGCTAGGAAAAGAAAAAGGAAAAGGAAAAAAGAAAGAAAGAAGATTAAAAAGTAAAAAGAGGGAGGAAAAAAAAAAACACATTGAAAGCAAATTCCAAGACTTCATTATTATTATGACCGGGGGAAATACTCCTACAATTAATTTTAC